ACAAAAAAGAAAATTACAGACCAATATCCCTGAAGAATATAGATGGAAATATCCTCAACAAAATATTAGCAAACCAAATTTAAAATTACATCAAAAAGATCATCCATCATGACCAAGTGGGATTTATTCCAGGGATGCAAGGATGGTACAATATTCATAAATCAATCAATATCATATATCACATTAACAAAAAGGATAAAAACCATATGATCATCACAATAAGTGCTGAAAAAGCATTTGACAAAATTCAACATCCATTCATGGTAAAAATTCTCAACAAAATTGGTATAAAGGGTATGTACCTCAACATAATTACGGCCATATATGACAAGCTGACAGCCAATATCATACTTAATAGCAAAAAGCTGAAAGCTTGTCCTCTAAGATCAGGAACAAGACAAGGATGCCCACTCTCATCATTTTATTCAACATGGTATGAGAGGTCCTAGCCACAGCAATCAGACAAAACAGAGATAAATGGCATCCCCAAACTGGTAAGAAGTTAAACTGTCACTGTTTGCAGATGACATGATATTACACATAGAAAACCCTAAAGACTCCAACAAAAAACTATTAGGACTAATAACTGAATTCAGCAAAGTTGCAGGATACAAAATTAACACACAGAAATCTGTTGTATTCCTATATGCTAATAACAAACTAGCAGAAAGAGCAATCAGGAAAACAATTCCATTTACAATTGCATCAAAAAATGAAACACCTAGGAATAAGCCTAACCAAGGAGGTGAAAGCCCTACACTCTGAAAACTTATAAGACACTCAAGAGAGAAATTAAAGACACCAATAAATGGAAATCTATCCCATGCTCATGGATAGGAAGAATTAATATTGTCAAAATGGCCATCCTGCCTAAAGCAATCTAAATCTACAGATTCAATGCAATCCCTATCAAGATACCAACAGTGATTTTCAATGACCTAGAACAAATAGTTCTAAAACTCATGTGGAACCACAAAATACCCTGAATAGTGAAAGCAATCCTGAGAGAGAAGAACAAAGCTGGGAGATTATGCTCCCTGTTTCAAGCTCTATTACAAAGCTACAGCCATCAAAACAATTTGGTGCTGGCACAAGAATAGACTGATAGACCAATGGAACAGAATAGATAGCCCAGATATAAACCCACCCATATATCACCAATTAATATATGATAAAGGAGCCATGAATATACAATGGAAAAATGACAGCCTCTTCAACAACTGGTGTTGGCAAAACTGGACAGCTACATGTAAGAGAATGAAACTGGATTACTGTCTAACCCCATACACAAAAGTAAACTCAAAATGGATCAAAGACCTGAATGTAAGTCACAAAACCATAACACTCTTAGAAAGAAACATAGGCAAAAATCTCTTGAATATAAATATGAGCAATTTTTTCCCGGACACATCTCCTTGGGCAGGGGAAACAAAGTAAAAATGAACAAGTGAGACTATGTCAAACTAAAACAGCAAAGGACATCATCAGTACGACAAAAAGGTATCATACAGTATGGGAGAATATATTCATAAATGACTCATCTGATAAGGGGTTAACATCCAAAATATATAAAGAACTCATACGCCTCAACACCCAAAAAACAAATAACCTAATTAACAAATGGGCAGAGGACCTGAACACACATTTCTCCAAAGAAGAAATACAAATGGCCAACAGGCACACAAAAAGATGCTTCACATTGCTAATCATTAGGGAAATGCAAATTAAAACCACAATGAGATATCACCTCACACCAGTTCAAAAGACAAGAAGCAACAAATACTGGCAAGAATGTGGGGACATTGGAACCCTCCTACACTGTTGGTGGGAATGCAAATTGGTGCAGCCGCTGTGGAAATCAGTACGGAGGTTCCTCAAAAACTAAAATAAGAAATATCATTTGACCCAAGAAATCCACTCCTAGGAATTTGCCTGAAGAATACAAAATACCTGATTTGAAAAGACATATGCACCCCTATGTTTACTGTCAGATTATTTACAATAGCCAAGATTTGGAAGCAACCTAAGTGTCCATCAATAGATGAATGGATAAAGAAGATGTGGTATGTACACACAACAGAATATTATTCAGCCATAAAAAGAAAATAAATCCTTCCATTTGCTACAGCATGGATGGAGCTAGAGGGTATTATGCTCAATGAAATAAGCCAGGCAGAGAAAGACAAATACCTTGATTTCACTTATTTGTGGAATATCAAAACAAAGCAAAACAGAAGGAACAAAACAGCAGTAGATGTAGAGACACTGAAGTGACTAGTGGTTACCAAGCAGTTGGGGGCGGGTATGGGGTGGGGTAGGAGAAAGGGGATAAAGGGCACAATAAGTTGCAATCACAATATAAATTGATCACAGGTCCTGGTGAACCACTGTGATGTACATTTGAAACCAACATAAGATTGTATATTAACGATACTTTAATAAAAATAAAAACCCCAAACAGGGAGTGGGCTGTATATGGCCTGTGACTTATAGTTTGCTCTGATTTATAGGATTTCTTTATATATATTAAAATTAGTCCTTTTTTTATGTGTAGCAAATATTTTCCACTAGTATATGGTATATCTTTTCACTGAGTGTATGCTCTTTTTGATAAATAGAATTTCCTGTTTAACTCATTATTTTTTAAACAGTGAACAAGATTTGCTGAAACCCACTATCTGCCTGGGTTTATTTCCCCTCTTATTGTAAAAATGAGCAGGGCCTTCTGAAAGTTCAAAGGGAGAGCATCTAATGAGCAGGTATCTAAAACAGAGAGATGACATCACCACCCTGGTGCACAGGTAGAAAGTTAGATGGTCCTCTATGGCAGATAAACAGGAAAAGATACCAAAAGTAGAGAGCCTGTTCTCCAAGGCAGCCCCAGTGCCCAACACCTGTGCAGGCGAAGGACCTGAGAGGCCCCCAGGGAGGGGTATTTTCTCCCTGAGACACGGGGAACACTCACCTGGTTTGATGGGCTGCCTGTTGGAGAAGGTCAGAGGGGCAACGAGGAATTTGGTCTCTGCAACTGGCACCCAGTGGTGGAGAATTTTCACTGTCCAGACCCCAGGTCTCAGGGGCAAGTTCAAAGGGGGCTTATAGTGGGTGAATTCGGCAGTGGATTCAATCAGGATGTCGTACGTGGCTGCGATGATGTTGATGGGATCCACCCAGATGACGGTCACAGTCACGTTGGGGCCCTTCCCCCATTTCTGCATGCCTACTGGCTCGTCCATGGGCCCCAGGAGACCCCCAAAGTTGCGGAAGAGCCTCTCCTTGGCATCCCAGTCAGTGCCGACCTGAAACAGGGAAGTGAGTAATGAAATCACAGGGCCTGGACTACAGTGCTAGAGCCTGCTTACCGGACTTCATATACCCAGTTTCAAGATGAGGACGCTGAGGCTCCAATTAAGATATCTGCTCAATGTTGCACAGGCAGTAAGCAGAGGACCTGGGATTTGGACCTAGTCTGCAAGATTACAAGGCCTGTGGTCCACTCACTAAACCAAGGGCCTTGGTACCTGGTACATGGTGGGTATTTGGGGGAAAAAAAATAGTGCACTGAAAGGTGAATGCCCACTTGCAGGCTATTCTAAGGAAACACACACCAGGCTGCTCAACAGGTACAGCTGGTTTCCACTGTGGTCCTTGGTTTTCTAGATCAGGCACCTCCGTTTAGTGTAATCATTCTGAGGAAGAACAGACTCCGGTTCGGGAGCTCCGCTATCGTAAGCCAGGAAAAGGAGTGTCCTTCAGCACAGCCCATCACTTGCAAGAGTTTATATGGCTTTCCTAGGAAGAGACAGCTTTGGCCTCCCTCCCACTGTCTGAGCTGAACCTTCGGGATGGGGGTGGTTCTCCAATCCACCCTTCCTGTCAGCCAGCTGGGTGTGTGTGTGGCTCTGACTCCCAAGCATCTGCTCTTGGGCTTCCCTCCTTCCATTCTTGCTGCCTGCAATTTACACTCGACCCAGCAGCCAGAAAGACTGTATGAAATGTCCTCTCATGGCTAACATCTCTGTGGCTTGGTTCACTGCTCCGTCTTGGTGCTTAGCACACAATAGGTGTTCAATGAATATCTGTGGAATGAACGAGTGAATGACTTGATAGAAAAATGAATGAACTGCGTAGATCCCCAAGACAAAGCTTTGTTACCATTCTAAATCAACTGTGGAGGGACCAGCAAAATAGGTGAAAGGGATAGTTACAAACTCCCAATTATAAGATAAATTAGTCACAGGGATGAATGCACAGCACAGGGAATATAATTAATCATATTGTAATATCTTTATATGTTGACAGATGCTCACTACATTTACCATGGGGGGCATTGAGGAATGTCTGTAAGAGTCATATCACTAGGTTGTATACCTAAAACCAATATAATATTGTATATCAAGTATGTTTCAATAAAAAAGAAAAAGAAAAAAAAAAGGAGGTGTCTTCTGCTTCTCCAGGAGGTTTAATTTTTTGGTGCTTTTGAAGACACAGCAGGTGAGCATGTTAGTAGCAGATAATGAGCACACTCTAAGGCTGGTACTACTGCTGTGGTCTTTCCATGACCAGTATCTGTGACGTGTGCGTGCAGGTCGGGGTGCAGGTGTGGGTATATATATGCACCCTGAGAGATCCCACACGTGCAGCGCAAACAGGAGCTGGTTTATGTTCTCCTTGTTCTTGCCTCGAGTTCCTGTGTCTACCCTTCACCCAGGACACAGAGCACTGTGGCTCTTACATACCGAGAGCTTACAGTGCGCCACGCAGGCTAAGCACTTGGATGCGTCAATTTGTTTAACACTCCCACCTCCAAGAAGGGGTGATCCTTGCCATTATCCCCATTTGACAGATGAGGAAACTGAGCTCAGAGCAGTTAGATAACTTCGATGGCCAGAGAGGGGCGGACCCAGCATGAGGACCCAGGGAGCCAGCCCCCAGATGTGCTCTTATCTACTATTCCCTAGATTGCCTCTTACTCATTCATTCATCCTTCTTCTCACCAGGAAGGACTATTACCCTGCACATTCACAGGCCCACAGCTTGCTTCCTGCCTCAGCTTTCCATCTTTGGACCACAGCCTGAACGTTGGACTCAAGGAGCTGTCCTAAGTGGAGCACTGGCGGCGATTGCTGTGACATGTCTGCAGGGGCAGCTCACCCTCCCAGACTTGTGAAGTCTTGGCATTTTCTGCCACCCTGGGGATCAGCAGGAGGAACTGTGGGTCAGCCCTGCCTGAGGACCCCTGGTGCCTAGCAGTGGCTGGACACAGCAGGAATGAAAACAATATTAATTTTTTGAAGAAATAAATGAATGAGTGTCCAAGATTCAAGCCAAGCCTTAAAGTCTTAGAGGTTTTTCTAAAGAAACTTGATCCTGTTACTTCCCCTTGGGCAACCCTTTTCAGCTCATTGTTCTTGAGTCTGGTCTCTCACCCCATCTGGCAACATTCAGTCCTTTCTGGTCCAGCTCCAGCCTCACCCTGTCTCCCTCCCTCTGCACTCAGCCCCAGGCCACCCTGCATTACTCTCAGCACCTCTGTGAGAGGGGCTCTCTTTTGCCACTGATCTCTCATTCATTTCTGTCCTTGGAACAGTCTTCCTTCATTCCCCACTCTCTTGCTGGCCATGCTACTTGTCATCTAGATCTCAGGCATGTGTCACCTCTACTTGGAAGCCTTCCGTGCTTAGAGGCACCACTGCCTGAGATGGAGCTTCATTGCTGTCACATCCTCTGTGGCCTTCCTGATCACACTCACTGTGAAAGCCTAAAATGATCATTCACTAAAAATGATCAGTTACTCAAATTTAAGTACATGTTCAAGCTCAAGCTTAACATACAGCTCCTCCCTTCATATCCATCAAAGGTTCCCACTGCATTTAAAATATAATCTGAACTTTTTTCCAGGGCCTTCAAGACCCCTTCTGATCCACCCCCTCCCCCTGAAACCTCCCTCCCTCCACTCTCCTCTCACTCACTGTGCTCTCACCACACTGGCCTTGATGCTCCTTGAGCAGGCCCAGCTCCTTCCTGGAGCCTCAGGGCCTTTCCACATGCTCTTCTTTCTGCTCAGAAAGTTCCAGATTCCCCTGGAGACTGTAGGCTCTTTTACAGGTTTCTGCTCCACAGTCATCTCGTCCCCAAATGAATCATGCCATCGAAAGCCACCCCCATCAGCCTCTTGAGACCTCAGCAATCACATGAAGGAAGTTTTATTTTATTTATAATACCTGTCATTAGCTGAAATGTTTTATTTATTTACTTGCTCACTCATTGGCTGGCTGCCCCACTTGACTGCAATGACAAGGGTCTAGCTCATTACCATCCCTTCTGTACTTAGTACATCCAGCCACTCAGCAACTGCCAGGCTGACCATCTTTTCAGCAAGCCACTAGCCTGGGACTCCCATGCAATGGAGAAATCTGAGCTGCTCAACAACGCTGGGCCCCTGCCCTGGATTGTGCCACTGTGAGGGGAAGTCTCAACAGCTCACACAGCAGCCCTGAAGTCCTTCCCTTCTTTCTTGTCCAGTTTTATACCATCTGCCTTAAAAATAATTAAGACTTTAGAAAAAAATTCCAGACTACATGATTTGGGGGACTCGCATCACACACTGTTACTCTGCCAGAGATTTTGGTGGTTCTCACACCAAGGGTTCCAGACCTACAGGAGGAGCCCTTACAAATCACTAGGTAGAGAGTGGGCAACATCATTCAGTCCCTGGCAGGAGTGCCCCATCACCCTACGGCAGGCTGATAAACAGAGAGGGCCTGGGAACCAGGCATCCATCTCCTTAATGGGACATTAATGTCTTCAACTGGCCACTTGGGCCCCCAGCACAGAATCCAACTGGGGCAGTGTCTAATTGCCCCCTGATGCCAGTGATTTATGGCATGGGCTCCCATGGCAGCTTGAATCTAGCCAATGTATTCAGAGACTGAACTGAAAATGGTGGCTTAACAAGGAGCTCCCCCCGCGCCTGGTTTGGTGCCCATTCAGTAGGGCACAAGTCGGCTGGGCAGGGCCATGGCCACTGGGAAAGGACTGGCCAGGAAAATACAGGAGGGGGGTACTTGCCTCCACCCTACTCCCCAGCCTCCCCAGATATCCCATATTCTAAAATTGGACCTTTCATCCTTAACTCAGCAGCCAAACTCTTGGTAATGATTAACTCCAGGGATGAGTCACTTGCTGATGTGGGTAGGGCAGAGATTAGGTGCTGGAGTTTTGTGTGGGCAACCCTCACCATGCTCAACCATGCTTCCCCTTCCTCCAGCATCTCTACCCAAGTGTATGTACTCATTCATTCAGAAATCTTATCCAGCCCCTCCAGATGCTATGAGCTCTTCTACGGGCAGGCAATGCAGCAGTGAATGAGAGATGCAGTCCCAGCTCTCTTGAAGACAGTCAGCAAGTGACCAGAGAAGTCAGCGAGATGGCTTTAGATGGCAAATGCCAAGGAAAACAGTAAAATAATGATGTGTCAGGTAGAGAATGTAGCCATTGTGGCATAAATGTGGGTAGAGAAGGTGTATCTGAAGGTACACTGTCTGGATTTAGAGCAGAGTGACACACACATGCAAAGGCTAGCTGTGCAAAAAGAAATCCCTGGGGAAAGCATCTAGGCAGGAAGATCAGCAGGTGCGAAGCCTGGGCAGGAACAAGTTTGGCATGTTTGACAAAGACACAAGAAGTGTGAACTGGGAGGAGAGTGGTACTGGATGAGGCTGAGAAGTAGACAGAGGCCGGATCCGGTCTGGGGTGGAGGTGGTGCTGGGTAAATCCATGGCAAAACAGTCAATCAGCTTTTAGCTGATGCTGTGCTGGGGAGAGGGAAACAGCATTTCCTGCATCCATGCATCCGTGCACCAGTCTGTCTGTCTATCCATTGACCCACTCATTCATTCAGTGACTGATTTGAGGTAAACTCTGTGCAAAGAACTGGGGAGACAAAAGCACAACTAAGCAAGGGATTGTTGTCAAAGAGACTTGGGTTCAGTTTTGAGCTCTTCTACTTTCTAGCTATGATCCAGAAAAATCACTGGATCTCCATAGGCCTCAGTTCTGTAAAATGGGATGAATGCCACTAACTCCATTTGGAAGCTGGTTTGTTACTGGTCTTCCACTAACATAGGTTTAGGAGTCATTGGCTAGGTTGAAAAATTCAGAGGAACAGAAATTCTACTATGAAAAACAGACCAAGGTACTGGCTGGTTCAGTCCACGGATACTGACCCCACACTGTCCCTCTCCTCCTGCCCTGTTTAAGATGCTGATTCCAGTGCTGCAGCTGGAGAACCTTCTCTAGGCACTGGGTAAGGGCACATTTGGGGCTCTCCAAATCTCCTCCTCCTCCATCTCCAACTGCCAGTGTCAGACGGAACCAGAACCCAGCAGGGGCCATGGCAAAAGGCAATGAATGTGACGGCGTCTAGCCTCTTACCTCGGAAAACTGAAGCCGCCCGAAGTCACTGGGTGGGCTTGCGATCTTGAAGACTTTCTTTGGCATCACCCATGTCTCCAGGGTCTCGAGTTTGCTCACAGCCAGATTGGTAGCATGATGCTTGATCAGAAAGCCCTGGAAGCGGTCAGCAAGGAAGTAGAGGTGGACAGACGCCGGGTGGCCCATTGGGTAGTACCTGAAAATACACACAGGGTCACACCGGCTCAAGGCTCAGGCCAAACGTGCGTAGGATCACAAAGGAGCTCCCCACCCATCACGCTGTCTTGTTCCTAAAACAGGCCCCATTTTATACCATGCTCACCAAGTGCCTTTGCATCATTCTGAAAGCTACCCCTAGTGCACCTGTGACCTCAATATCTGTTGACAGTCTTCTGGCTGATTATACATGCAAAATATACTGACTGTACAAAAGCACAATAGAGAAAATAAAAATCACTACTGTTGACACTTCTTCCCACAGATGACATCAATTCACAGATACTTATTGACCCTCTGGTGCCAGGTACAGGGAAGCAACACTGTGTACAACGTCACACTGATGTATTTCCTTTCAGCCTTATTTTCTACACATATAATTGCACAGATCTCACATAGTTGGGCTAATACACATACTGGTTATATCCTGCTTTTGCTTCATAGCACTGCCCCAGCATTATCATGTGTCATTGAAAAGCCTCTGAGAACACGAATTCTGGGTGAGCCTATACATTATCCCACTGGAGGTAAGGCCGTATTGTATGCAGCAAATTCCCCGTCATCAGGGGCTTACCTGGTTCTATTTATTTCCCATTCTAAACAATGCTGCATTAAACACCCTCAAGCAAAAATTGTTTCTGAACATCTCTCTAGTCTCTGAGGGGCTCTTTGTGTCTGCTGTCCAACTTTATCAGAAAGGTTATACTGATTTATGCTCTCACTGTCCTCACCAACAGCATTGGGTAGTACCCCTACAAACTACTGCCAATCCCTGAAACATACATACATACACATACACACAAATAGGCAGCTTGTTTTAAGATACACATCTTTGATGCTTGCTGGTGGAGACAGACAGGGAAGCTAAGCAGAGAGGCCCCGAGGAGGGAAAAGCAGAAAGAGGAGGAGGGTTGTGGACAGCCCAGCTCTTTGTCCTTCCTACTTGTAAAATAAAAAGCCTCCGGCTGCTGCAGTGTGTAATTGCATAGCACTTAGAGGGTGTTTGTGGTGCCTTAATAACAGCATTCGGCAAATTACTGTCCCCCCTCAGCCTACCTTCCTTCTGGTCCCTATCTGGAGTTTAAGTCTTTATGTCCAATTACAATGGTTAGGGAGGCCACCTTCCTGTGTTTGCGCATCTCCGGAAATCACTGCCTTGTTATGGGGATGTCTCCCGGGCTTGGAGGGAAAAAGCCTGCACAGTCTGCAGACTGCTCCCTGGGCCTTCGTGGCTCACACAGACCTGCTCTGGCAGCACAAAGCCCTCCCTTTGGACTGTGCAGTGGACCTTCCTACAATGACGGACACATTTTACATTTGCGCTGTCCGATGCAGTGCCCACCAGCCACTTGCCACAGCTGAGCAGTTGAAATGTGGCTGGTGTGATGGAGAAAGTGAATTTAAAATTTTACTTAGTTTAAACCAAAATAACCATTTGTGGTGAATGGCGAATGTGGACAGCATGGAGTCATGGAAAAGTCTCATGGTGCTTGGCATTAATGTCCATTTTTAACCTCTTCTGTTGACATGCTCTGCTCCATGTGACCGTGCAGAGTGTAATCCAAGCCAGGGCCTCAAGAAGCCTCACACATATCTACCTGCCTCTCTTGCTCTTTAGCTATCACTATGAGATCATGCCTCGGTCAGCCTGCATCTTCCTTACCTGGAGATGAGATACTTGGAGCAGAGACACCCCAGGTGTCCCAAAACCATCCTAGATCCACTAACAACTCCCAGCCAAGAACAACAGAGCGTCCCTCCTGACCTGTGACTGGCTGCAGATGCAGGAGAAATG